CCCCAAAACCCCAAAACCCCAAAACCCCAAAACCCCTGAGGGTTAGGAAGTGGTGGAATAATTATTTGAGTTTTATGGGGAAGGGTTTTAGCAGCATGATGGGAGTAAGGATGGGTTTGGAGTTACTATATGTTACAAAGTAAGCATACTCTTTTCGTAGAGATTTGAGTCCTGCTAGTCCTTTCTCTATACAATCAAAAATCATCAGTACCTGGTTTAGAAACGGGAGCCTTTCATTTTCTCTCCGACTGGAATGCTGAAAACTCTATGAGGTAATTTAAGTAGCCTAACCAATAGTAACTGGGTTTTCCAAGCTCCTTCTTCTAGGAATAGTTCTTGTATTTTTTGGAAGGTCCTTAGCGATATGCATGTTCCTCTTCAAATAAGCTGGGATATAAGGTTTAATTTTAAATTGTTTCGCGAATTTAGATATTTTCTTAACTATAGCTTCAGAACAAAGTTAGCTTACTCTTCTTGGGTTGACCAAAGAACATTTTATTTTCAGCTTTATCTAGAAATCATTGTGAGGCCTTACTATTTCTTAGCCTGCCTACTAATTGTAGCCTTATTGATCAGAATTGGTTGAATGTTAGTATTTTCCTGGTTAAAATTTGTTATTTAATCAACCACTTATGAGTGACTTAATTAACCCAGAAGAGATCATATGCTGGTAATTCTTTCCATTCTTATAGCTCACCCGTCCACATTCCTGAGTTTGCACTCTTGTTGTTTTCATCAACCTGAAGCTATAACAAATATCAAAACAAATCCTCATAATTCTACTAACTTCGCCCATGCCCTTCTTGTTCTACTTCTCTTTCTTCCTTCTGTAGGTCTAAATGAGATCATGCCAAAGCCTGCTTACATTCTAAACAAGGAGTTCTTGTTAAAGACATTGAGAACCTGGGCCTTGCGGTCTTGGGGTTTTATGTAGAGAAAATTTGGGTTGATCTATATAATGGGTTACAGTGCAAGCAATTGACTCAATATGATTCACTCAATTTCTAATAATATTATGCGATTGCATAAAAATTTGTCGTAAATATCAAGTTTCTGTAAAGACACGGTGGATTTAAAAGAATCAATAAATGGTTACCAAATCCATAATATCTCTCCAGAAAGATTAAGTGAGAGAATGCAAGCTATCAAATAATAAAATAAATTGTTTTGAAATTAGGTACATTTCTTGCTATGCTTACAAAAATGACACTAATGAAACTCTTAGCCTAACAAGAATGTCATTTGGTTCTAATAAATTTACTCCATCTCTTGATGGCTGTCTATATCTCTTTCTGTAGAACAAAGTTTAATTTTGCGTAAGCTTTGGTATTTTTAGCCCAATACATCTCTGCAGGGGCTAAGCGCCGTTTTCAATTTCTTTACTACATGTTTGTAATTACTAGAAACAAGGATGCTTTCATTGTCTCAACAATTGTGTAGAGGGTTTTATGGTGTTTAATAAAGGTAGAAACTCTTTTGATAAAGTAGCTGAAATTAAATTACTTGTTATAGGACTGGCTTTGAGGTCAGGTTGCGAAGTATTTTTGTGAAGAATTCAAGAAAGCCAATCATTCTGCCAAATAAAATCTAAAAAAGAAACATTACCTGATAACAATCATTGATTTCTCTGCCAGATCTACAATTATATTAGACTGAAACTTCTGGTTCTCCAGATCAACACTCACTCTTGCCTATATCCCATAACCTATCCAACGTACACTACTCAAGCTCTGTCTCATCGCTTCACTCTATACAAGCTTCACGCTATTCTCCTCTCAAACCCAAATCCCCCTCCTTAGTTCCTTAACCACTCTAAAAGCTTTCAGTCCCCTACATTTCCACCACAAAGGCAGATCATCGCCTAAAATTCTTACTCCTCGTGGCATGCCTACGATCTCCATTTTATAGAAATAAATAATTTTAATAAGGTTTCATTCAACCTGACCTAAAAGACCAGGGGTTTTGGGGTTTTGGGGTTTTGGGG